TTAAACCAGACGCTATAATCATCGGCTTCCGACGAGTAGACCACTATTTGGTTCGGTCAAGGCCTCCAGATGACGATGCCAGTTAAGCACTCATAACCTGGTTTGATGCTGATAGCCGATCAACCAGGTAAATACTGCTCCATTCTCGCCAACAGCATGGTTAGCGTGTCACAAGGCGGATATAAGTTTTCAGCCAGATGCAAGTGATTGTGATTCTGGTTGGAGTGTGCGAGCCAGCGATGTTGACTCAGGTCAATCTTCGCCGGGAAAAGGCGGGAACAATCGGCGCAGACCAACCGGGTGACCATGTTCGTACCAACACTTTTATTGCCATGAACTCTATTGTGGGCTACCAAGTTAGCTTTCTATCTGCAGCACTTGCCACATTCCTCATACGTGAAACCCACGAGTTTCTCCTGTGTAGTGGTTGGAACTGGTGTGGAGTCCTGTGTAGGGGTGGAACTGGTGTGGAGGCGCACATGATTCTTGGTGTATATTGTCGAAGGTAACCAGCACATTGAAAACAAACAGAAGCTTGGCGATTTCTGGAGTTGAAGAACACTTATCTCACCTAGAGTGACATCTGGGTTACCCATTCTGCACAACGAGCAGGTGGTTCAGTTGGTCGACCCTTCATGGTTACATACTGAACTACCCTCACTCCATTCTCATCATCCTCAAATTCGAAAAAGTCGTTTACAGGTAAGCCTCCTTGTATGGACTACATTGGTCAGATTTCCTCTAGAAAAAATAACTAACTAGCCTATCGGGCTCTGTAATTAGTTTACGAGGACTTTGCATGAATGCTTAGGTAACCAATAAATGAATCCAAAGTGTTCGAAAATCAGTCATCGATTCGGCAAACATGCTGGTAACCAACGACAGTGTACGATGCACTACAATAATGACCGAAACGGTTTTATCCCTATTTTGGCGGCACTCGTTTCTTTATTATGTCGTTTACTTGATTTGCTGTTGAATACTTACTAACGTATTTTAAGTACGTTTATTCTTTAGGCCCGCCAACAGCGTATAGTGGAGGTACATTTCTCAGGATAAAAGTCATCCTTACCTTAACATGAAAAATTCTTACGAGCTTCAGGAAACTCATGAAACCCACGTCAAAAACGTTTCTGCCACCAATAATGATGTGCAATAAACAAAACGGAAAGAATGGGTGTCACGCTATCCTTGTCGTTTCTATTGATCGCTGGTCCCGAAGATAGACAGTAGCTTCCGTGGAATGAAGGTGCTATGGAGGTGTAGTCCAATAGACGTGCTAGAATAAATGGATAAACCGAATGATTTAGAGTGTGTTGTGTAGCCTGACGTTGCTTGTGCTTTTTACCCGCAGCTGGACCTGCAGATCGAATTTTCCAAGGTCGTCGGCTCCTGCTATTTTGTAACAATCAACTGTCGTTTAACAATGAACTACTTAAAGATATTTAGTAGACAGTGGGTGAAAAAATATTATATAGTACCTACTACACTGCAGTGCCTCAGGTAAGAAGGCCTAGTGACTAGGACAGCCACTTAATACTTTCTGTAATTATGTAGCCGAATTTTAGTGTTGTCGTATGTGATTGGGTAAACGCTCTACGTGGATGAGCATTTGAAGCAAGTTGACCATCTATTACGGCTGGTAAAGTAACCATAACCATTGGATGGAATACTATGAAAGGGGTTTTAATCTGATGCATGTTCCGCAGACTGAAGTGCATGACTGTCGGACTTTTTTACGCCACACAAGCCCTAGTGCAGTTGTCACTTGAGGATTGATTTACAATTGCTTTTACTTGCAGAAAATTGGAAGCTAATTACATGAACTTCACTGTAGGAACTTGTTGAGGCTGATGAAAGCATTCAGTGCAGAGTGCAGGTTGGTGTTAATGGATATCTTTTAAATGGCACTTTTGCGATTCATCTGTTTGAGGATTGCCTGCGCCATTGTGCAAAGCAGTCTCCTCTCTACATACTGTCGGATAGTAAGTACATAACAAGAACATACCAAGAACATTTGTCCACATAACCGCTAAACTGAACGTAAACTCATAATGCGAAGAATTGTCCTACGTACACATTGATTATGTTTGGTGCGGACCTCCATCGTGATGTTTATCGCTCTTTTGTTCACTGAGCTTCATCATTACTTCAGATGACACTACTTTTTTGCAACGGTGCGTCAGCTGACTGCTGCCGTGCATCTATTGCAAAGAAGGACGTACTATATATTATGGTTAGCTGTCTGATCCGGCAGACCTTACTGTTGGTCCGTATAAACTGGGCTTGGGTAAGATTGTTGGACACTGCGTCCAGCGAGGTCATCGTCCGGAAAGCCCGATTTTGTTCAATAACTCAAATCACATTCGACAGCGTACCATCCTGGACTCTACTGGGCACTATTTTCCACTTGGACTGTCGAATTATGAGGTACCACTTGACGTGGCATCTATTTTACCTGCTTTAGCGTACTTGAACAAATAAGTATCAACAGACGGTCTGCGAACTTTGACACCTGATTAGTATGCTGCTCACGGTGATGTTAAATATGTTGTCAGATTTCCACGTATTCGCTGGTAATCTAAATAAATTGCCGTGAATGAGGAATTGAATAACGGCTAACCACCAGACACTTCAATCGTCAGGGCTTACTAAATTTGCTCAAAAACAACATGAGTCGGATCATTCAGGAATTCCATACAAATGTGTTAAAGATGACTACTCGGCTATGGTGTGGTTATCCAGCTGTATAAATGTGAACCGGTCGTTGCTCGACTCACGCATATGAGATTAACAGTTAATTCAATGGGAGGATTGTGTGTCAGCAACGTTTGGTGTGCGCGTGTGTGACCATAGTCTGAGTCTTGTGAACTTACGGCTAAATAAAAAATACCATGCGAGAGCATTCTGGTCTTAAAATACTGGTGGTACTGGTCCGCAACCAATACGGAACGGAATAAATCGTGTCGGGATGCGAGAGTATTTGCAAGCGTATGTGCAGAAAAACCGTCCTAACATTCCATAGTACTCATATTAGCTTTTGGTATATCTTATGAGTGGTGTAAGCCACCAGATCACGGTTCGCGTCCACCATCGTTTTAAACTGTTCAGTTTTTCCCACTTGACCTGATTACTGTGAGTCAATGTGTGAGACTACTATGAATCGTGCCAGTTGCACTCTCCTAACCACCTTCCAATGTCGTGTCCTTCGGTTTGCACCTGCTACAAGATGTTCAGTTGGTTGGCTGTCCTTTCCAACGCAAATCATACCACAAAGCATCACACATTGGTGTTTTCTACTACTGTGGCCGAAAAGATAAAAGTGATATCAACAACCCACAACCCTTATTTTCCTGCTGTACTATTCACATGTAGCGTTGCTTATTGTGAGAGAGGGTCCATCGCCATTGTTTGCTGCGACGAACATTCCCGCAAATAGATGCCTACCCACTTGAGCGTGTGGGAATATCATATGATATTGGTCCAGTCATCATCTCCCCAAACCCAAGCCGAATTGCAAAGTTGAATAGAGGACAGATTTATCTTCATCTCAAGGTACCTCCAACTGTAAATAAGACATCGGAGTGTTCGAACATAACAAGTCCAGCTGAAACTATTGTGGCCGCAACCTCTCAAGTATGAGGATGTCCAAACTTTTCTGGAAACCTTCGAGGATATAGCCTATCGATCGACCGGTGTAGGTTAGCGGCCCTAAAATCCATTTCCAGAGGCCGAGCGAAGGCTGCCTGGCTGTGGCTAGAAAGTCGCGATGGAAGTCATTGCAATGAACAGACACGGGGCTATGAGGCGGTTCAAGGACCGGGTTACAACCCGAATGTGAACTTGGCTAGTCTGTAGAGGCGGTTGGTTGCAGTTACTATCGGACAAGTCCGTCGATGGTGTGCAGCCGACGCTAAATGGTCAGTGGACCATGGAGGGTCTGTTGCATCTGACACAGGAAATAGCAGGAGTACTGGCCACAGTGGAGTCACGAGAGGAAGTGGACGCGCCATCACCGGAGGACCTACTGACGGAAATCGACCGACCAATCGATGAACTCGGCGCACTGAAGACAGAAGCTTGGCGGCACATTTCTCGCATACCTGGTCAATGAGAAAAATGTCGCCGTAACCGACCGTGGCGAAAGGTTGATGTGGAAAATATTGAATAATGACCGGAAACTTTCAGAAGGGCATTTGGGAATGTTGGATTTCCAAACATGTGTAAAATTCAGACCTTCTGCTTTCGTGTCCGGCAGCTTGTAACCACTTATTTGATGTAGCTCACTAAGCAACTTCCCCCCGATAAAATGCTCTTCCTATTGCTGGTACTATCACTATTTTTGATGAGAGCGGATCCGAGTTATTTATTCAGAAATTCGAAAAGCCTACCTTAAGCAACAAACCGGTGTGGGAGCTGCCATATTGACTGGTGCGTCCGATTTCGCCCAGACAGTACTACGAGGTTCTTTGGTCTTTGGATGAGGCTTTGCGGCGTTCAGTCATTCCTCAGTTAGTTCTTTAAAAGCAAGGACTCCCACAAAAAGTAGACACTTTGTCCCGATTCCGCGGCTGATGAGCAGGACGTCAAGCCATCCGAAAGCAATTTTGTTCAAAACACTCTCCGCCTAGGAACATCTTGCCAGAAATCGGATAACCTGAACACCATTCCTAAAATAAATTTAATTGTTCAACAGGCAGGTTTAGTTCTAGTGGTAGCACCGCAGTCGGCTCTGTACCAAGCTCAAGTGGTTTACGTGGGCGAAGATCCACCGCGTCGCACCAATGATGGCTGACCTATCCATATCAAGTGTTTATCAAAAATGATGGTCAACCATAACACACAATTCGATTGAGCAGACACTCGGTTCGTTACAGAGTTGTAGCTGCTTATCGCATTAAACACACGGGGCGTCATTCGTAAGTAAGCTGGTGGCTGAATTCCCCGAATCCAACCGAGTCCGTTGCACTCAAAAAGCGAAAAGGATTATTTCAACCTGAGGTGATTTCATTCGAGTAGTCACCGGGAATGCATGGATAAGTTCGCAACATCATAAACAACATAATTGCATTCATCCAACATTATGATCTAACATAGCTAACGGTGTTCGGTTTTTGTTTCCGTTGCGCGTCTCGCTAGCCTCCATATCTGCGGCTACCAGAAGTGCTGCATTGCGTCCGCCAATAGCTGCCATTTCCATGCATGAGGCCATTCGTTCAATGGCATTTACGTAGTAGAATTTGGGAGCGAGGACGAATTTCCCCAGGTCCTCATGGGGGGTTTGCTATATTAAATGGAAAAAGGGAAGGGAATACCATTTGATCAATAAACGCAAGCAAAAACAAAGCACTCTTCTGTTGTCTCCCTATGAGAAACCACCTGAAGCAATCGTCAGTAAGCAAGCCCTTCACAAACCACAACCGAACCTTCAACGCCCACCAACAGTTACATTGCACGGAGCCACATTTGTGCAAATCAGCGCTATCTTATGAATAAGTTAAGCTTGCAGCTGTCAATGCTGGGCTGTTTGGAACAACACACCATAAACCTCTCTTTCGTAATCATTTAACGACAAAAATAGTTTCATTCGTTATTCAGTTTGACAAGTAGGTATAGAAACACGACTGTTCAGTTGGGATATAATCGTTTACAGTACACTGACTCGTAGAAAATGTTTCAAGGCTGTGCAAGGCTGTTTCATCCAGTTGAAGCAGCCTGAGCACCGGAAGCGTTGATACAGGTGAGTTAAACGACATAATGTACGTATAAAAGAGTCTACGAATATGCCATCTGTAGCTCTCATATGGGAAGTCGAATCTACTTCGAATGACCTCGTAATCAGGGGCAAGGCTGTAGGATCATGCTCGATGATAGTCAATCTGTCTCGGCAAAACACTGACTGCACATTAACGGAAAGTGCTAAGAATTTTGGGCTAATGAAAAAGGTAAGAACTCGTTGATTACACAATTACAAGTGGTTCTAATGAACAGCAAGATTGCCGTAGGAAAAGGCTAGAATCCCGAACATTTAATTCAAATAAAAATGCCGATACTTACAACCTTGGTGTTGAGAACGACACTGATAGTGATGACGTGGACGACCATGATAGCAATGACAATAACGAATACCATCAATAGTATTATTAGTATCAGTGCTAACATTACTAGTAAGCTTACAATACTGCCCTATGGAAGTGATGATATTGATAGTGATGATGATGACGATGCTGCCGACGGTGGTGATGGCCACACGATCGAGAATCAGTTGGCTTGTGCAACCGCACAATAATGTCCGAGTGTCTCAACTGGCCTTATTTATAACCCATAAGTTAATGGACAATCAAATTGTGATAACCTCTCAGACGATACTTACCACCGGTTTATAAACTGGGTAAGCCAACCAGTTCACAACAGTCGGCGGAGTCTGTTTTTCCCCGGATTGATCAATGTATTCATTTCCTATTGATTGGATTGGATTAGGTGTTTGGCATGGAACCGAGAAACTATTCCAAATGCGTTGTTCATTCGCCCGATTCTCCTCTATGCCAAATGAGATTAAACTTCGAAATGCACAAGTTCCTGTCAGGTAGGCTGTTTGATTCGGAAGGATCACAACTCCTTGACGAGCAAGGTACGATCCTAGAGCGAAAACAAATTACCGAAAAGTACACATGAATATGGTGCGTTTCACGAAAGCAGTCGACAATATCATCGAGACCATAGTTGTCATGGTAGAATACTGAATTCGAATAAACGTGTCAGAGCTTCCCAATGAGGAGTCACCAACAATGGTCTTTGTGTTTCAACAGAGCGAAGTTTGACCGTAGGAGGACATAGCTCGGAATACCTCAGTGGCTAAGGGACGAACCTGCTGGCCAGCAGATTCGTGGTTCTAAACCAACCTCGGTCTTTTGTCTGCTTCTGTATATGCTTGGGCTGACAATAACTCAGTTCTCGCGCCTCCATCTGGGACAATGGCAGTTAGGCGCCCGAAGGTTACTACAGTTGGATGCTTTTATTCATGCATACCTCTCAGCAATTTGACGGTCATTCACCCCACCCCACACCACACAGCTGATGCCTCAGCAAGGTTGTCGCTGAGCTGCGAGTGAAATGCGAAAATGACTTGGACAGATTCAGTAATATGCGCTAGGTGAGTAGTATTTTTGAACATGCAGAGGTGGGTTTAGCGGTTTGGCAACGAAGCATCAGTGTAGGAACATTAATGTATCGTCGGTGATGATGATGATGTCGATGTTGAGTGGTTCTGGTGCTACTGGACCCTATCAGCACTGCATGTGCTTGTTTTCAACACCTGGGGCAATTAAATTTTTGGATAAAATCCTGGAAGGTTGCTTAGCTGTAGCCAGAAATGTACACCCTTGGTATGTGGATAATTCGGACCAATGTGGCGCTTCCAAACAGCACTCAATGGTATATGGGACGGATGGCAACTGCGAGACAAGTTATAACTTAAACTCCGCCTAAATGAGGATAGCATAGATTTTCGTCTCTTACTTCTCCACATTTATTTATATGCTACTGTTTCATGGTGAAATGAAACTATCTACACTCACATCTATCTTCACTTTCAAATTCAAATGAAGGAATTATAACCTCAAGAGCAGGAGTAATCACTTCAAGGGAACGAAAGACAATGGCACTGCTTATGTGCAAGGCTCCCTGACTAATTATCATGATGTAAAGCAAACCACCGGGATGAAGTGCAAATATTTTCATGCTGTGCATGTCACACAGGTGTAACCAGTATAGAGGCAAGAAAGTTAGTGCAACGGGATATAATCATGGCTGTTGATCTGCATTATATAAACGCAGCTGAATAGCACTCAAGCGTCGGTCATGAATTACAAATGTTTACCAGGTGGCTACCTTGAGTTAAACAGAAAACAAGGCACTTGGTCTCTGGGTCAATCGATGGCACGTACATTATGAAGCAGAAACAATGCACCTAGCGGCTGAATCAAAGTCTTTCTGATCTCTAGTCGAACCAACAACCAATGTATGACTGTACGGGTCGAGAGCGTGTAGATTTGCTGTCAAAGTGTACGCTGTCTGCATGGCTAACCTCAGTCTCGTTAGCCGAATAGCGTACTTATTCTAGCACTTTGAATAAGATGCCTAACTTCAAAGCAGTTCCTCCAAATCTCAGTGCTGAACAAAATAATCGCACGATTACCTCAGTGTCCAGAATGACAATCGAGACAGTGGGACAGTTTGTTTAATTCAGACGTCCGCGTGATCATGAAGAAAAGAATGAATTTCGGGTAAATGTAAGCGAGTTGAATGTCTCTGTGCTTTCCCCATTGGGTGCATGTACTGCACGCGCTCCGCTCTAATATTGCATCAAGCAGTTGCATGACCTAGTGTGACGGCAACAAAAAGCACCCCCACAAATATACGTCATGTGAGGTCACATACACCGAGGGGCATAGTGTGAATGAAGGCATCCACTATTTCAGATCAGATCAACGGTTACTCCAACGGTTACCAACGTATATTCAGAACACTGTATACACAGATAATTTCGGATTTACTCCCAACATAGGATCTCCACCGCGATGAAAGTCTAGAGCCATTGATCACAAGCATTCTCCAAGCCCGGCAGCTCTCCCGTAATTATCTCCCGACATGTGCACAACAAAACCAGTAAAGCTAAGAAGCGGAAAAACAAACTTGGGACTTACTTGGCCCAATCCCAAACTTCCAGTTTTTCAATGAGCCGGAAAACAGACACTTGTCCACCTGTTGGTACTCGGAACATGGCAACTGGACTGAACCGTCCGTCTGGATATTAGTCTGTTGGTTTACGGGAACAGCCAAAATGACGTAATCAAATGTGTCCCGTTTGATTTGTTCTTCATTTTTCGGACGATATTCCACTTCCCAACTGCAGCTGGTTTGAATGAAAGAAAGTGTCTCCTTTGCTTCGATCAATTAATTATCAACTGAATTGAATCGTGGACAAATTGGTCGAAATTACACAGATACATTAAATGAACTGAAGTGTAAATTTCCGGCCCACACTTGGATCCGGTTTTCATACACCAAAGTCATACATTGAAAGCGTGTTATTTCCATGGCTAAATCAATATAGCATATCCGGGAACTCGAAGTTTAACCACATGATTGAGGTAGTCTCGTCAGCATCAAACTGAGCGTATCAGAGCAATATGGATTGAACATCATCAACCAGCCGAAATCGGAGATGTAAATAATTAAGAAAGTAGAGATAGGACACTTCAGACCAATTTCTTCAAACTCGAAAGCAAGGGGAAGTGGTTTCGTTATAAAACTAGGTGAAGCAAAATTTATCATCAAAACAGTTTTTAGGTAACTAGAGAAGGAGGGTGCTTCAGACTAGTTAACAGTGGAAATTTCCTCAAACTGGGAAATAAACCTATTATAAGCAATAACATTTCATAATAACCCATGTATCTAGTGTAGTCCACATTAACTTCGCCTTACGCGTCGAAATACTTACCCATCCACCTTGGTAGAACGGATGCTCGTAACCTGGGCATTTACTAGCTGACTTGGATTGTCTGGGCAACCTTCTTTCATGGCACTGTCCACCAGCCTTTGAGGTACTTGTTCATTACCCCCCTTGACGGAAAACAGCTTTGATAGTACGGTTGCCATGGTTATAAAACCTGAATTAATGGAAAATGAGATCATCTGTCATAAGAGCCCAAACAAATCTTCATAGTATATGGACTCTGGCGCCCCGCGCAGTTGAACTGTACATCAGGCTCACATACGAAGATACAAACAAACGTAAGTAAAGAAAGATGCATGGATTTCATTGTTCAGACTTATTTCTCATTCTGAGGTCAAGAGTAGCATCATTTTAATAAAACTTTCAGCTCACAACAGGCTTCTAGCACGTGAAAACGGCAATCGGAAAAATGCATTCCAATTCAAAACCCACTTTGAAAGAAAAATTCAGCATCCGATGTAACGTTTTACGAGTTCACGCTCAGAGGTAGTTTACACAAAAATGTACACTTTTGACACAAATGTCATTACACTTGAGTAGTCGGACTAGCTACATTCTGTGGAGTGCCTGATGCTTAATGAGGTACGCGATTCGAACGTGACCAAGGCTTCTCACAAATGATATTCGGTTTCCGAAAACACCAATCACACGAAGACCCTTATGTCTTCCAAGTTTCCAGTTACAACAAACCAGTTTGAAACGAATGCATTCGAATAGTCATTCTATACGGTAGGAACTCTGATGGTAATCGGTGGCGTACGACTAACTGTAGAGCTCCAAAATGTTAGACCAAGGGTAGGCTCATCAAGCATATTCGTGCCCGGAAGCTCAATTGGGGAAAATGATGCGAGTTCATACAGTTGGCTATTTGCAGCCTGCCCTAAACCTGCCATTGATAAGTCATTCCCAAAAGGAGGCCAAACTACGATTTTCCTCATTGTGGGTTTTTCTCTGGGAAGTGAGTAATTGAGATTTGATCAGTGCTTTCATACAGGAATGAACATTAAAGTGCCATAACAAGAGTATTACTCACCTACAAAAGCATGTACACTTAAGTTTTGGCAATAGTTGTTTGACACCAAACCATAAGCAAATTCTTCCTTGAACGTTTCACCAACACGAAGCTTCTTACTGAGCCAGTCTCCGTAAGTCCATTTGGTCATTTCAAGGAATTCCGGTTTCAGTGCCTCAAACAAGCGCGCTGTTGTTGTGAAGCAGTAGCCACGATCTTGCAAAGAGTAAATCCTGATGTTACCATAATGGAAACGAAAAGTGCGGCTTTACAGAATTTTCAAACGGAACGTTGAAACTAAGGGAACATACACATGCCATGTATGTACACATGTTGGATCGGCGTTAGAGTTGATGCAGTGCGGTAGAAACTCAGATAAAGGCGATAAGTGGGGCAAATGTGATTAGAATCACTTACTTAACAAAGCTGCGTATGATGGAACCAGTGTATAGCTTGACCCAGATTAGTGGTATGCCGTATCTCCACAACAGGCGAAAAGGAACGAGAAACGAAGCACCTCCGAGTGTTGAGAATGACAAGTGTTCATGGCCGGCATAGAACATTACTCGATCGTCAGATTTGCTCTCATCCGTAATCTCTAGATCTGTAAGTTTTGAGCAATTGCGAGGTTGTATGAGGATACGACGTACAGGTAAAAAGGCTCTGGTGGTTGTGCAAGGCACAACCACCAACCCACCGCTACGCACTACTACGCTCCACAATAACGCACTGATGATGTCACCTCGATTGGTGATGAAACGTTTGCAATCAAATTGCCCAGCTCAGCGAACAAGCCAACGACCACCATCTACGATACCTGAGCTACCAACATTTTCCTCTATAAAAAGGCTCTATTTTAAAAAGTATGCGATTCTTTCGTAGCTTAGTTGTTGAATTAAACCGTGATGGGGAATTGTGTAAAATCATGACAGGGCACTTCAATTGAGGTCTAATCATAGATACACCTTATCTCGGTGCGATTATTGCTACTTAACATCACTGATCGGGCGTAAGTAGACAATACTGATGTTTCCCCAAATAGGTAGGACACTAAATGCGGACAGGTCACGGTGACTTAGTGTACAAGTAATGTTAATATCAGAAGGGAACTTATGAATCTACTGCCTTTACGGCCATTTTCCATGGTATACCATGTATCTATGCATTTGATATACGGATTATACAAGAGAACATGATACGGTGAAATATGAGTGATAAATCAGAAGATTAGGGGTGGAATTATCCAAGGGTTCCCAAGTTGCCTTTTTAGCATCGTTCATATGAAACATGCATTATTCGACACGCATCACCACAAACCATTCTACAAGACTATTTAACTAAACTAAACTAAACTAAACTAGACTAAACTATTTCTTTTCAGCCGTCCTCCAAATTGTGACTCAACGTCACAAGTTGACCACTGAAGACAAATCGTCTAATATTAGCCGTTGTACTGGTGGTTGGTCAGATGGCAGTTGATCTGTTCCCCGACTTTGGCAGTTGGCTTGCAACCGTTGTGTTGTGTATCCAATGTCCATAAAGAATCACATTGGGGAATTCATTGAGATGAGTAGATTATGATCATTCATGGCTGGCTCAATCGAAACAACATCGAAGTTAATAGTGACACAAACTAATTACGATCTATATTCTACTCAGATTACAGTTCCTTACCTGCCGAGATGACGAACTTTGATTTCGAATGGGAAAAACCGCCATAGGCAACTCTTGCGCAAACTTACCGAACTGTTTTGCAAATTTTAGCATGTACTGATTGCTTCCGTGGAAAATACTAGCACCCATCTCTTCACGCTGACCCGCAAAATCAATTGACTTCATACGACCTCCGATCCGTCCAGATTGTTCGAATAGTGTTATACCAACCCGTGAGCCAAACAGTTGACGCAGATAGTAGGCAGCTGTTGATCCACCCATGCCACCACCAACAATAGCTAAGGTGATTTTGAACAGACAGGATGATGTATGCTTTGATTACCAGGTTATAAAGATGGTAGGCGAGAAACAGGAAAATGACTAAGATAGACTATAACTTAGTGCAGCTAGACTGAGTTTTATTGGCCTATTTCTTCCAATATCCAGAAGAGAAGAGCGGAATAGAGTCACTTCACTGAGAACGAACATATCGCTTTTTCATGCTATATGCGAACTGTGGCAGTCGGCATTATGCGACGTACTTGAGTATTCTACCTTTTTGCCATATGTGCCTAATTGGTCCCGTGGAAAGGAGTACACCAGTGCACCGCAACGCTTGATTCTGTATGTCAGAGTTACCTCTTCTCAAAGTGATTTCTGTAGAGGATCACTAACTACTGAAGAGGTCCGTACAGAGGGCACCATTTTGTAGTGCACCGTTACATCCAACGATGATTTTTTACAAAGGTTACCGTTGATCAATCCACAAAACCATGATCGCATTGCACTTCATCTGGAAAACTGTGTTTGACTTCCGCTACAGATCTACTGTCGATGAACTTGGGAGCTTTCGAAAAGTTGCAGATTCGGTCGCCTCTGTTCAGGAAGTTCAGATGAATTAAATGAAATGTGTTGCTGGTGTATAGAGGAAATTATCTGCAAGTTTTGGTTTTCTGATGTACAAGCAAGCAAGAGGACAGTGTAAGCCAACAAATTAGACAAGTAAATGTTGCTCTGGTATATTTTCAAGTCGAACAACAAGCAAAGCCACCTGCTACATTACATCTCACTATTGGCGAAGCTCTCGTCCAACTAAACCGCTACCGACCTACAAAGTTCTGCCATTACATTTGGGCCAAACTGCATCCTGATGATCATGAAACCCATCACCTCAACATTTGTATCGATCTGGGTGATGCGATTTTACCATTGAAAGATGAATAGCTCAGTTTTCTGAAAGCGCTATCATCTTTCGAGGAAATAGTTTCTTTTCTTCAATGTAGTTCAGCGTACGTATATTCTGACATCTCGGATTCGTACAGCCTAAGGCAGTTTCACATGTATTGTAGAACTTACCCTCCATCTACGGTCGTGGTTATAGTTAGCTTCAAATGACTGCTGCAGTAACCCCATTGAGGGAATATGAAACCAAAATGTGATCGGTTTGATACACTTACACGGAAATGGATGGACTCTGACGATCAGTTAAACATACAGATGTCTTTAGGTCAAGCTGATGAAAAGAGAAACGTATTTAGTGGCTTTCTTGGTTAAGAACTGTCCTGACGGAAATATGGAATGTAAAACTTATGTTGGAATACTGGTCCACGAGGAGAGGCTTTTCGTGTAGCCTGCATTTCTTTCATCGAGTGCTTAGGCAATGGCAGAACATCAATCACGTGAGACCCATTGCTCCGTTAGGTCACTTGGTATACTGATTGTGTACAGAGAGCAAAAGACGTTATCTCATCTCACCGCATGCGTCATGAGCGCGGGGACTGATGTATGCTGTGTTTGCATCAATAAATATGAAGCTGTGACGTTGGAAGAACATAACCATTCATGAACTCTGCAATCTGTTTTGGCACACTGGACCCTGAGAATACCTCATATAGCATTTGTATACAAAGCACCTTAAACAATGATACGATGGTCTGGTCTTTTTCCAAATACAATTCTGCCGCTCCAGCAACATGTACAACTGGGACGACCGAGTCACATTTTGTAAACTTCAGCCTCTTTGACGATTGTGAAATCTGGCTGAAGTCTGACACCTCCTGTTGTACGGTTAGTGTCACATTGTTTGATGCTACGGAGGATTCCGGTGATGAACAGGGGCCCAAGGACACGCAATCTATACAAAAAATGAGCCACTGGTTTCTTGTTGATTTGTTTTAGTTAGCTGCCCCACCTAGGACATAGGTATTATTCCGGTCAAACACAACTATCGTACTGTTAAAAAGGTTAAGGAGTTCCTGTCCAAACTCAGCTCGGATCCCATTAAACAAGTTTAGCGTCATGTGGGTTATAACTTTAAATAAGATGTTATAGTCCGCCACTTCGGTTTGGCAAATGGTTTCAAGGGTTTTTACAATCAACTGAATATGGACTACACAAGGTTGCTGAAGCAATTGGACAGTCAATGACCGGTTTCACGCTTCTTGGGGCTCTTCAGGTAGGCCAGTCCCCGAGTTTCCGTCAACCTCACTTTCTACTGGAACCCGAATTGGACTGATTTCGACAAATACACTCATTTGCAAATCAATTTGCTCTTTGCAGGATACTCAATTGAATCTCTCGTTTATGATGTTCGAAGAGTTTTCAGCAACCTTGTGAGTAGTTTCCTTAATGAAAATATACTGCGATATCTCGAATGTCGTGCCAAATGAAACATGAGGCGTCCTTTGTGCAGCACAGTTAGTTGAATAACATCATGAACGAGGGATTCTTTTGAGTCGTTCGTGAAAACCAAATCGATTTGCAAAGGAGTGTATTTGTTGGAAAGCGGGCTAGGTTGTTTAGTGTTCCTGAGATCGGTTGGAAATCAGATGCCACTAGTGTGAGTGAACGTTAGTAGACAATGGCCACTAGTGTGTGTGTGTGTGTTAGTAGACCATTGCCAAAGGTCATTCAGGAATATCAACAACGACGCACCAAGGCCAACACCAGAAGCACACACACGAACACACGCGCACAAACACAGATCTAACATACCCACAGACGCTAGTCGCATCAGACTGACAACCGTCCTCAGGAACAAACCAATCAGAAGACAAGATTGCGGACCCACACAACGCTGAAGTTGACTGGTGATCAATTGACCGCAGAAATCCTTGAAAAAGGCGACCGAAACGACGGATCATGTCGTCTCGTTTCACTACGTTGTTCTGAATTTAAAATTTCTACACACAACTACCGTAGTTACCTGGACCCACCGTTTCAAAAAACGGATAGCTTATCAGCTATACGCATGTTTGAGGTGGTGTGGGTGGACAGATTGGGTTGAGAGGATTTGTCCTGCAGACAATCGGGTCGAGTGGGCTTTTCTGCGTAAATTTCTTGACGATACCAATTTGTAGACGGAAACGATTGTCCTTATGACAGGGAATCTCCGTATGGATAAACACAGTAGAACAGCTATTTTGGAAGGGGTCAGCTAATGTGATGCATTAGGCATAAGGATGCCAACTAGTCACAATTTATTCTGATAGCGCAATCAAACACTTTACGGCACACTTACCAACGCGGAAGTTGGACGCATTCGAGTCTCCTGACATCCTGGCAACGGACAGCTCGCCTTTAGACTCCGCGATTGCGATTCCTTCTATGGGAAAACCAGAAGACATTAATCGGTTATATATAGCCTGTCTATCTATATAACGTATTTGTCGGAACGGATGATACATAAGCCAACTTTATTTTTCTGGAATTTCGATCTAATAGAGGAGTGATAAAGTCTTACCACGAGAGCGCTTTGCCAGAACAAGGTTTTGGAAAAATTGTAGGCCAACAAATGTCATTACAGCTTCGGTGAAACATTCTGGATTCTACAAAGTACCTAGAGCTGAAAGATATACTCATGTGTTCTTGTTGAATGTGACTTCACGTTCATTTCACTGAAACCGTTGCTTACCTACGTTGAGACAAGCATCTTCCAGCTGCCACCCCCAAACAGTAAACTGCGAGAGCTTCAAATGCGATGCACACCGAATACGTAACCGCAGTTCAATGACACACCACTTGATCGAACTGATGGCGTCACCACGGGCTCACCGCTAGGATCGATATTGGCCGAGATTCGCATGGGTAGGCTTCAGAAGAGCTTCCGAAAACCAATAGTATACAAAACATAGTAGTAACATCACTTCGAAGTCTTAGAAATTGAAACCGAAGAGGACTTGGTGATTCTTCATTATCATAGATAGAGTGCCTGTCCTCACCCAAAATATGTGAAGAATTTTGCTTGTGTGCAGCCGAATACATTTTACACAACGAACTCACTCGGTCGACGATTGAGGGATCGAATTCATCTTGGTTAGCTTCTGGACGTGCGCGGCCAATCATACAGCAGCTGGCAGGCAATGCGCTCATCATGGCACGACAAGGGTCCCCCACTGTTTACAAGGCGCCTGTCAATCAGTCTACATCACCACAGCATCGGACAATAGCAGCGGCTGAGGCTACGGCTATTCGACATCGCATCCACGTTCCTTCTGGGAAAAACGCTTTGCTCACGTGTTCACTGTACCATGGTTCAATTCATCTTCCCCCACCGCACACTATCAAACATAGACAATGGTGAAAACGCTCACAACATGGCCTGCATCGTCCTCAGGCCATCCTGTTAACCTAGATGTTACCTGACAGATATTCAGCGCCGCCCGTTTATCACTTCCTTTTGTTTACATTGTGGTCGCCAGACTCTGTTAAATAGTGCGGCCCTAGAACTTTCAACTGTGACATCAGAAAAGCTTTCCAGAAAGATTTATTCAGCGCATCTTCGTGCCTATACCGAATAATCTTCGGGAACTTTCGGAATAATAGACGCACAACTTCTTAGTCAGATACATTACAACATGGTATAACATACATGGGACAACTGTGCCGTCTAACAACAATAAGGCTTTCATGTGGGGCTGCGAATGTGGCCGGATTACGTTTGGCACCATGTTAGTCAGATAGCTAGCCTCTTCGGTGAACTGCCACGACCAGGCACCGCATAATATACCGAATTATTATCACTCATTTGTAAAATGCTCTACCTCATTTGATAGTAACTTATTAGAACACGCGCGGTTTTGCAGCCAAAACTTCATTCCAGGGATTGCTGAAGTGTCGGCTTCGCTTACGAAGATCCACCCTACTTTAATATACATTCTCATGATTGAGTAATCGATGTGCACTTCTGCGTGGCGAACAATGTAAGTTCAAATATCAACGCACCGTATCAAACAGCATATCCCGAAGTACCGCCAGTTAGGACGGCCAGGATATGATGATCACGAGACCAAGCAACTTACCAGAGGAGATATCCACGTATCCGTGACCGGATAATCAATCCATAGCTTGGTATCTCTCACTCAAGGTCGACCAAAGCCAATCGTTTGCGAGTCACGCAAACATAAATCTGAAAGGTGATTGGTTGAAACGACCATCGCGCAAATGGCAAGACACACCCTTCGCTTACAGGTCTGTGTAGACATGACTAACAGCCATCCGACGGCAGCATGGCCAGCTGGGATCTGCATCTGCTGCTTCTTTGTGCGAAAGACTATCAACCGCATGTGAAACTAGACGTAGATCTGTGCCAAAATGATCAGGTATCACGTGATGAAAACACCTGGTGCTTGCAGCAGCATGGCCAGCTGGGATCTACATCTGCTGCTTCTTTGTGCGAAAGACCATCAACCGCATGTGAAACTAAACGTAGATCTGTGCCAAAATGATCAGTTATCACGTGATGAAAACACCTGGTGCTTGCGACGGGTGGTTAGCTCCCAAGAGGTTGCAAAAATGTCTGCGCTGAATCACCAGATCGTTTTCATGTAGTCCCCCTTTTCCACCCCACCCATACCCCACGAATCGCACCACGTACAAACTCAAACTGTGACATTCCTTCCCTCATCTTTAGAATTGAAGCGGCAAAAAATGACAACAGTACCGGACAAATCTACGGAAAGCTAAAGTCCAAGTAGGAAATAAGTTTGATGGAAGCTCAGGGACTACGCTTATGAGCCCCAAGAAGAACGAAACCGATCATGGGCTGTCGAAGATATTTTAGCAACCTTATGTTTAGTGTATTACATTTATACAAGGCTTAACTGCATTACAGAGGGGGTCATCGCAAACTCAGGATTTCCAATGAACTTGACTGTGACAAAATGGTCAGGATAACATTGCTTCCCACCTTGAGTTGCTGCACTCGCGTTGATTCATCGACAATGACGTACAAGGTACAAAAGAGACAAAACTAATACAACAGTACTGCCGTAAAACACAATCACCATTTCATGCCCCGGCTTGACTAGCTGACTAATTTTCAATGGGTAGCCCCTGTGAAACATCCGCAGAGTGACTGGATGAACGAAAACACCTAACCAGAAAGGACTTTTGGGATCGCTGTGGGTGCAAACTTTCCTTCCGAGTTTTCCTCACGTGGTGCCGATGTACCGGGTTTGAGGATGTGATGAGTTGCTTCGCTAAGCTAACCACCAGGATCTAATTGCATGTATAATTTCTCATTTCTCCACACACTAATCAGCGCCTGAGCATCCAGCTTCCGGTACGAAGGAAACAGTACAATTAGCTCATCAGTTGCCAACAGGAGTTGCACCACTGACGGGCGACAAATAATCTACTGCATAGTCCTACTGAACTTGAATTGTCCAGCAACCATATAAGTAGTCTTCATTCAAGAAAATGTTGTAATACCTTCGCCTAAGGAAAGCACATAAGTAACCAGTACGATCAAGGTCAAACAGGGTGAAACAACCATGAGTGGTGTGACCGAAATTCTGAAATGTGTTTGGTTGTTCCGGGCGCCGCGACTACAGCAAGACAGGCAGCGCACAGCACTACCTATTATGGTGTACACCAACCTATCCGCAAATCGTCAATAACGTAACCACTTGGGTCATAGTGTCTGAAACTTTGGGTTTATCGCGCCAAAAACTTCTCACACGGATACCAGTACGTGGAACTGAAAGCAGATCCAGAGTAAAAATTATCAGCTGTAAGCGTTAGAAACGAGTGATCTGCTCCAGAAAGTTGCAAACGCGCCTACGCTAAATTGTCAGATCGTGGTCAAATGATCTTTGCATGAAATCATCCTCTATTTCGATGGAAACATGAGATGGGAAAATATCCTGTGTGAGAGAATAGATACCGTTCGGATGCCCTATAGTGTGAATGCTTGCACTTCAGACCACTGAGCGAATACCGGCGTTCCAAAGGTTAAAAAACAACAGGGATTAATTGAGTTGGGCGAGATCGGGTTCTTTCAAATTTTGATATTTTTCAACGATGATTTATGATCTAGTAAGGTGTTGAGAAATTCTCCTGCATTACAAATCCAGGACAAGCCCCTATCACAATCAATTTCAAAGGTCTAGAGGTGGTTTGTACACCTCCGGTAACACTCCTTTGTCCATTTCAGTTTGCTGATTCTAGATATGCTTGAAGCGGCGCTCCGCGCGTGTACACAGGAGAACTAACAGTCTATGGCTTAACACTTAGGGTATAAGTGGATGTACAGGAGAATGAAATAGTATTCTTAATGGTCATCTTATATGAGCGAAACGGGTGATTCAGAAGGAATAAAGGCGATTGCAATGATAACCCTGGGACACCCTTGCAATCCGTGATGTGTTACAGGTTCAGTAACAAGCACGGTTTTGGAATCAGGAGCGTGATAAAGGGCATTCCGGAGCCTACTCGGGGAAAAGAACGGAGCTCCGAGAATTCGAAAGTTTTCTCCGTAGTTATCGATATGTTCCCAATGGAAAACGAAACTTACTTTGCACCAAATTACTTTAAAGTCCCAGTAAAAACAGGCTAAAGGGAATCGATGATATGAAGAACACTGAACTACGTCTGGTGAACTTGTTTCAATGACTGAGCATAATTCGTTTCTAAAAGCAAAAACGGTGAAAAATTGAAGCACAAGACAGCACCCCGCTGTACAACAAAAACATGTTTTGCCAAGGGATAGGATTGTACGTATCTCGTATTCCTCTACCCGCGTGACTCATTTAGGTAGAGAAAACCTCACAGAAGTTAACAGTTTTGGTCTGTCTCTTCAGGAGCTATATAGAACAACATACTCTTCTTCGCAACGAGACATTCCGTTCCCTGCAGGAGAGTGCTTTCAAGAAGGATGAGGGTATCTCACTTTTTGTGAGCTTTCCGTCTTGCTAGATAACTCTGCATTCATCACCGCAAAATATATGGATTCGCAGAATGCGCCTGAATAGGAAACGACTTTGTATATACACGTATAACTACAAACGGGATGTTGGACATAACCCAATGGAGAAAAACCTTTAGTTCCTTCATAAACATCCATAAACTGTGGCATCTATGGACAAACTATATGACTTCCATTCACTGTTGTTTTTTTTAAACACGATGCATTTGCATTTCTTAGCTTTGACAGTATGAAGGTCACCCTAGGGACGGAGTGACGGGTTTCCTGCAGGACGGTAAAAATTAGCCGATTAATTTTACTACTCATTAGTAGCTACAATATGCAACGTTGCTCTGTCCCAGAAACGGCACTGCGTAATTTAGTGGATGGGTCGGACGCAGTCGACAACCCAAATAATTCCCAGCGTTAGTCCTGAACACC